GGGCTCGCTTCGCCCACTGCCAGTTTTTCCAGCTCTGGCCACTTCCGCTTCCACGGACTTTCCAACTTCCACTTTTTCCAGCCTCCTAGCAGGGGACTGGCCAATGGAACCACCCACTTTTCATGGATCTGAGCTGGAGGTCGTGATTCAAGAGGCTTACGCCATTCCGCCGACCTCCAGAAGAGGGATGAGGTCAACGGGTGAGACCTTCTGGGGCCTTTGGGGGGCCCTCTGGGGGCCTCTTCGGGCTTCTTGGGAGTTTTGTCGGGCGTTTGCTGGCGTTCTCGGGGGTCCTCTTGGGGCAGAGGGCTCGGAATGCCAGCTCGGGTCGCCTTTCTGTTCGAGTTGCCTTCCTTAGCTGGAGTTCGTTTAGTGTCGCCAAAAGGCGGACTGGCCAGCACAGAGCTGTTTCCTGAGGCGCAGTCCCTCTGCTGCGGAGCAGCCCCCTCCGCCCTCTCCGCCTCCAGAGGCACCGCCGGTTCCTCACAGCTCGGTCCATGCGGACCACGCCTCCCGCGGCGCGCGCTGCAGCGCCCCCGATGGACTGCAGATCTCCCTGGAGCTCCCTGCCTGGAGGGCCCCCCCCCTTCCCTCTGCTGCCCGGCCGCCCCCTTTTCCGTGCCCCGATCCCTCGGAGGGCGCCGCCATTGCCGCCTCGTTCGGCGGGGGACTTGACTGCCTCTGCTGCCCCTAGGCTCGTGCTCGAGCGTCCACGACTGACTCCAGATGTCTCTGGAGATTTGGGTTTGCCAAGATTTATTCAATCGCTTCGCTCATTCCGCCGGCCCATTTTTGGGCACTGCTGCGTCGACTGGCCGAGTGGTCGTTGGCGGTGTTGAGCTGCGGGGGAGTGGGCTGTTTTCTGGGGCGTTGCGTGGGGCATGATGCTGGGGCGATTCGTTTGGATTTCTTGGGAGTTGTCAGGGAAATCGGTCGCTTTTCACGGGGCGGCTAGATTCTTGGGCTTACGCTGCAACGCCGACCCCTTGGGGGGCTCCTGGTAGGTCTCTCCGGGGCCTCCTGGCAGCACTTTTGATGCCTTTGGGGGGCCGTTTTGGAGCCTCTTGGGGCCTTTTTGAGGCCTCTGGATGGCCTCTTGGTGCCTCTTGGGGGCTTCTTGGAGGCCTCTTGGGGCCTCCTGCAGGCTTCTCGGGGCCGAGGACTCGAAATTTCCGTTTGGGTACCCCGCCTGGGCCCCCTCCTGGGGCCGTCTTGGGGGCTTCTTGAGCCGTCTTGGGGCCCTCTTGGACCGTCTTGGAGCCTTCTTGGGACTTCCCGGGCCGTCTTTGGGTGATCTTGCAGGCCTTTTGGGCCGTCTTGGACGCTGTGAAAGCCCAAGAGGCGAATGTGCTAAAATCATACGTTTCCATCTTGGGCCGTCTGGGGGCCCTCTTGGGCGCCTTGGAACGATCCATCGGCGACTCGGAGCCCTCTTAAGGACCCTCTTGTGGGCCTCTTGGGGCCCTCGTGGCCCGTTGTGAGGCCCGTGGCGCGCTCACCCTGGGCCGCCCGGGCCCCCCCCCTCCAGACCGACCGGACCGGGCCCCGGGGGGAAGGGTTTGGGGAGGGGGAAGCATCCCACACGCCAATGACCCCAAGGGTTCGGCGGAGTCGCAAAACAATGCTTACACCTAGGAGGTCCTACTCTTGTCGCCAACGAATTGGCTGGGTCCTCCGAGGATTCGCCGCGGCGCCGCCCGTGGAAGCCTCGTTGCCGCCCACTCGGGAGGTGCGTCCGGGTTCCTCCGCGTCTCCGTCCGTGGCACCGCCTCGCTGCCGCTCGCTATCTTGGTGGGGTCCGCCGAGGTTTCGCCGCATCGCCGACCGTGTCCGCCTCGTGGGCGCCTCGCTGCCGCCCCCTTATTCAAGCAGTGGCGAAGCGTCCCGGCGTGCCTATAGGCCTACCAAGCAATGTTCTAAGAACCTCTTCTGGTTTCCACGAAATGTTCTTAGAACATTTCTGGCTGGGGCCGTCTTGTTTTAACACATCGGGTTTATGCTCTTAGAACATTGCATTCGTTCCTAGAACATTTGGGGGTTCTAAGAACATCTCGTGGTATGACGACTATAGGAATGCTGGGACGGTCGGTCCCTGCTCAACTTTTTGGTTTGGTCCGCCGTCTTGTCAATGGTGGGGCCTTACAATCGGTGGCAAAGCTTTGGCGACTCACGAACGCGCGTTTCGCTGATGGCTTCATGACTTCTGGAACTACAATTAACCAGATCAAGGGGAAGCTTGCAGACATCCGCACAGCGGCCGGCAAACGTGGGTTGGAATTGCATCCATATGAGGCCGATACCATTTCGAACATTACCAGGAGATGTGCCTCCCCCTGGAGCAGAGTATCCAGAATGGAGAATCCGTATTAGCGGTATACATCACGATGGTAATGTCAAGTGTTTGGCCGGAAAGTAAGCACTTGACAACCATATTGGGACAGTTTGGAACATATGTATGTAAGATCATTTTGATGAATCGTTGGTAGTCGTCCCATGCGAGGCTCTGGCTTTTGCTCTACAGTACCATCGGCGGCTGTATATGAAACCGGAACATGGGCTATTACACCAGACCTGGAAGACATATTGCGCAGAACACAAACAAAGATGATGAAGAAGAGTCTGATGAGCAAAAGCCGCAGGACATTTTCCGAACAAAATGATTGTCACTCAGCGGTGGAAGCGTGGATGTGCCAGATATCGTGGAGGACGCCTTGGGGCCGTGGCCTGGCTGGATACATCGCACGATTCAAAGCAGAACATATGTTGGGAATTGTCTATATCTATATCTATACATTCGTGATTGGGGCTGGCTCACAGAAGCAGGCCGTGGTGCGATGGTTTGATAAATTATCGGAAGGCACAAACATATGGGCCCATCATTTTTCCTACGGCGCCCATCACACATGACACGGAGAGTTGTGCGACCCAGACGACGATGGGAGGACGCAGCTGCAGCGTGCGCATGTTAACGCCTACGACATGTTGAATTGGTGCATCTGGGCTTAAGGGCCCAGCACGCTGCCCACTAGTGGGCCGTCCTTGGACGTTTCGCGCGTGTTTGTGTCTGTTTGTCTGAGGTTTTGCCGCGTCGCCGCCCGCAGCCCGCCCCGTGTCCGCCTCCTCGTTGCCACTTGGGGGGGTCAGCCGAGGTTTCGCCGCATCGCCGCCCGTGGCCGCCTTGTTGCCGCACAGTTGGGGTGTCCGCCGAGGTTTTGCCGCGTCGCCGCCCATGGCCGCCTCGTTGCCGTCCCCTTGGGTGGTCCGCCGAGGATTCGCCGCGAAGCCGCCCGTGGCCTCTTCGCTGCCGCCCCTTGATTGTTCGGGTCCGCCGAGGTTTTGCCGCGTCACCGCCATTGGCCGCCTCGCCGCCGCAGGCTTGGGAGTCCTCCGAGGCTTCGCCGCGTCGCTGCCCGTGGCAGCCTCGTTGCCGCCCACTTGGGGCGTCCGCCGATTTTGCCGCGTCGCAGCCCGCGGCCGACACGTTGACGCCCATTTGAGGGGTCCGCCGGGGATTCGCCGCGACGGCTCCCGTGGCCGCGCTTGGGGGGGGTCCGCCGAGGTTTTGCCACGTTTGCGCCCGTGGTCGCTTCGTTGCCGCCCACCGCGCTTAGGGGGTCGGCCAAGGTTTCGCCGCGTTGCCGCCCGTTGCCGCCTCGTTGCAATGTGGGCGGTCCGCCGAGGAGGCGCCACGCAGCAGCCCGTTGCGCCTCGTTGCCGCTGGGGGGGTCCGCCGAGGATTCGCTACGCAGCAGCCCGTTGCCGCTTGGAGGGTCTGCCGTGGATTCGCTGCGTTGCCGCCGCAGTGCCGCTTGGGGGGGGGGGGTCCGCCGCGGTCTGTCCACGTTGCCGCCCGTTGCCGCCTCGTTGCCGTTTGGCGGGTCCGCTGGGGATTCGCCACGTTGCGGCTTGTTGCCGCCCCGTTGCCGCTTGTGGGGCCCGCCGAGGATTCGCCACGTGGCCGCCTGTTGCCGCGCCACTGCGTTGTTCACGCCACACAGATTACACCACATAGCTTGCACCACAAAGCTCACACCACACAGCTTGCACCACACAGCTTGCACCACTTGGTTTGACCTTTCACGATGCAGTACCTCACTGCGGTGTCCAAGCTGGCTAACATGATGCGGTCGTCCTCGAATTATCAGGCTTGATCCCCGCAAGCCGATTGCAAAGAAATCGTCGAGCCTTTAGGGGACTTCGCGTGTCGGGGTGGTTACTATCGGGGTGGATTTTCTCACCTCTAACGAAGCATCTTCTCCCGCTGCACAGCCTGCTGCTGCATAACCTTCGGCACAGCCTGCTGCGAGCTGCACGCCCGCACGTCCTCGACCGGGATCACCCCGCGGGGCGCAAATTACGACCGCGCTTCGGGCGTCGCGGACGCGCGGCCGCCGACCTGGCCTGCTCCATGGGGCGGCGCGAGGGCGCGAAGCGAGCGGCGCCTCGCGGGGCGCGATGCGCGAGGCAGGCGCCATGGCCGCCTGCTGAACAGCTGACGGCCCAGCCGGAAGATGTTGCGCCCCAGCCATTCGTAGACATCCGATGCCCTGACTTGCCCGCTGCCAGTCCCCAGGAGTCCCGACCCTGCCCCAGGGCCAGCTTTTCATCCCGAGCAGTTTCTCGACGGTCGCGGGTCCCGGCGAGGGCCCAAAAGTCCGAAAACGGCCAAGCATTGTCCGTCGTTCCCCAATCAGTGCTTGCACTGAAGGCGTCCTAGCGGAAGTTGAAAGATTTGGCGAAAGTTTCCCGCCGATTTTGGTAGCCAGCTGGGTTCCGGGGTTCCCGGTTCCGGGTTCCCGGGTTCCTGGTCATTAGTTCCGGGACGATTTCGGTGGGTTCCGGGTTCCCGGGTTCCCGGCCGATCTCTTTATCGATCAAACCATCCACTGATTGGGGTTGTTCTCTGGTGTATTTTTTTGTTTTCACGCGGGCATATCTGGGTTCCGATGGTTTTATTTCTCCTGTTCCCCCTTAGTTACCCGAACTGTAGCGGGCAACAGGTCGCCCTGCCGTTCATCTTCTACGGCGGCACCTTCGTCGGGCGCTGGGTCGGCGACATCATCACCGGCAGGACGGGCCGACCGGAGGAGGATATTGATCGGTGGCAACGCCGGGGCGGGATAGGCTCAGGGGGGAAGGGGGCCTCATCAATGATAAAAGAAGCCCGAACCTTACTAACACGAGAAAGACGTAGCCTCATTGAGGCCCCCGTCTTCGCATTAGGGATCATAAAATTTGGGCGGCTAGGTTCGATGCACCCACAGAAAAAAAGACTGATGCTCCTGGCCCTCCCAGCTTGGGTCATCTTTCAGAGGGTCAGGGGCGTTGTTGTATCTACAGGGTCTGGCCTGACTGAAGAACACTTATTTTTCAAAAGGGGCTCGGTCGTTCCTTTGGTTTGCATGCGTGCCGCTCGGTCGTCGTTGGTTTGCATGCATGTCGTGGCGGAGCGCCGCTAGAAAGGGGCTCGGCCGTTCCTTCGGACTTCGTAGACCTACTTGGACAGAAAGGAGTTTCGTTCCCTATTTGTCGTTCCTTAGGTCGGGCCGAATACTGCAGTGCGGGGGGGGAGGTGTCGGGGCCGAGGCCCGAGGTTCGCAGACGGTCCTCGTCGCCTCTCGGCGGTGTCTCCGGCAACCCCGGAGGCGTGTCTTCGGCCGCGCCGCTCCACGCGTTGCGCCGGGGCGCGCAGGCCCGGCGGGGCCCGAGGGTCGTCGCGAGGAGGGTCGGGTGGAGGGTTTCTCCGAAGGGCTTAAGCGACCCCTCCTCCTCCCTCCTTCCTTCCTTCCTCCTTCCTTCCTTCCTTCCTTCCTTCCTCCTCCTCTTCCTCCTCCTCCTCCTCCTCCTCCTCCTCCTCCTCCTCCTCCTCCTCCTCGTCGCGGTCCTCCTCCCTCTTCCTTCTCGCCCTCGTCGATTCTCGTCATCGTCCTCCTCGTCATGGTCCTCCTCCCCGCCCTCGCCCTCGCCCTCGTCCTCGTCGTGGTGCTCGTCGTCGTGGTCCTTGGTCCCTGAGGGGGCTCCTATGTGGATCTGGTCTGGGCAACCTTCAGGAGACCTGCGCGTTTTGCGCGTGCGGAGCGGCCGCCACACGGCAGCTGGAGTGCCCGCGTTCTGGAGTTGAGATTTTGCAGCACCATGCCTCGCGGGGCCTCTCGGCGATCGCCCCCCACCCCCCCCCCGGGTCCGTCGGTGCGTCGGGTGGCCATGCGTTCGCAGGTGCTCTCGACCTCTATCTGGGGGGTCGGCTGCTCTACTCACCCAGCGCGTTCCACTGCTAGCAGAGTGCCCACTCGCAGACGTCCGAAAACCACGTGCGTGCCCCGAGGCAGTGGAAATGTCAACTGCCCGCGGCGGATCCAGGCCATGTGCGAGCAGCTCCTTCGCGAGCAGTGGAACGCGCTTGTCCCCCCGGCCTCCCCCCCTTCCCTGAAGACGTCCTCCACTCTTCCCTCCAGCCCCTTCTCCTCCTTTTTCTCCTCTTTCTCCTCCTCCTCCTCCTCCTGCTCCTCCTTCTCCTCCCCCTCCTCCGCTGTTATAAGGCCGCTCGATCCGCTCGTCGATCGGAGATGGGCGTGGCTGGAGCGGTGATCCTGGCGTCGGCCAGGATCTTCTTCTGCCAGGCCGGTGCTTCGGCTCCTGTGTGTCGTCGCGGATGGCGGCGACGTCATTTTGTGTCTGCGCCGGCGTCGGCGCTGCTGCGCCGTCTTGGTCGGTTCCCTCCGTGCTTTTTTAGATCGGTGCGCACGTCGCACGGCATCTCGGTTGCTTCTGGTGCCTTTTTGAGTTCTTGTTCCCTCTGCATTGTGTCCCAGTGGTTGTTGCGGCTGCTGTTGACTCTGCTGATTTCCCTCTGAATGTCCTCCTCGATGGCGGCCCATTGTTTCCATCCCAGCCGGTGTCATCCCGCCTGGCTGATCTCCATCTCGATTGATGCGAGTGCCTGATGATCGTGATGTGCTTGATGATATGTCTGCTTTTGTAGGCGTATCATGTCGTTGTTCTTCTTCGCAATCATCTCGTACGCGTGTTCCTCATGGTTTCTATGTCCACGCAGCAGTTGTTTTGAATCGAATTGAGCATCCACGAGTGCATGGTGTTGGGTTTGCATCTTCATGTGTCCGTGTCTGTTGGCCTCTTTGTTTGCGTCGTACATCGCCCTGGCCTCGCTGGTGATGAGCTGTGTCTTGGCTTCCTCCTGCTGAAGTCGGATGGCATGGCTCTCCCCTAAATCTTTACTTCTGGATTATTGTCGCTGTGCGTCGTGCTGCTCGTTGTGTTCGAGGTACTCCTGCATGTGGATATCTTGCTTGAGGCCGTCGAGCTCGCTCTTGTGTTCCCGTTGCTGTCCCTCTGTCCTATGGGTTGCTCTCGTGGAATGTATTTCCGTATCTGGACTCGGCTTGCTGTAGCTCCAGTCGAAGGTTGGTTGGTCCCGTCGATGGCGGCATAGCGTTCTGTCATGCAATTATTCTGTCCCAATGCCTCCTGAAGTTCGTCGGCCATGTATCGGCGGCGAGCCCGGGGGAGAAGTGAGAATGGGCGGGCTTTCTCAGAAGGCGCGGAAGTCCCCTGGCCTTCTGAGAAGTGTATTAAGTTTTCCCCGAAGACACGGAAAAATCCTCAGAAGGCGCAAGGTTGTTTGAGAAATCCCGCCGTTTTCTGAGAAGGTGTTCTCTTATCCTTCTCATTTCCCCCTTCGAGCTCGCCGCCGAATGCACTTATCCGTTTGTTCTGCGCTGGACATGTCTTTGTCTGCTGTCGCGAGCTCAGCCCGGGTCGCCTCCTCCCGCCTGCCTGGCTAGTTTTTTGATGTGGGTCTCGGTACGGTGCTTGAGGTGTGCGTCTTTCGTCTCGAGCTCCTCTTGGTACCGCTCGGACGTGTGCACTTCTTCTCGGCGGGGATTTTTAAGGAGCATCCTGGATCATCCTGCGGAACAAAAATACGCACGACATCGAAACAAGCACGGAGAATGGACGTCCGAGCGATGGCCAGTCTTTGACCATGTTGATTGCGTTTTCATTGTTGGCCTCCAGGTCCCCGACGGTTTGTAGTAGCCGTTGCCGTTGGTTGGTGAGAGTGTCTATCTCCTTGCGGTACGTGGTGTTGCATTCCTTGTTGGCTACGTCGTTCTCGCACTTGCCATGTATGCTGTCCCCCTGGTGCTTGCAGGCATGTGCCTCGTCCTTGTCGTATGCCGTCGCTGGTTCTTCCCTGTGGAGTTCTCTGTTGAGGGCCTCGTAGCGGTCGGTGATGGTGTTCCAAGCTATCCATTATGGATTCGACCTGGGCGTGGCATGGCGCTCGGTTTCCTCGATTTGCTTGGCGATTTGTGGTCCTCGTGCTCGTCGTCCGCTTCTGACGCTTCGTCCTGCTGGATTGTAACTAAGTGTACCCGTCAAGCTTGGGATTGATCTCGGCGATGTGCTCCTTCAGCTGGGCTAGGTGTTCTTTCTCGGTGGTCCTCTCTTTCTTGAACGTTTTCCAGTACTCATCGAGGTCCTTGAGCTGGTCTCTGATGGGGAACCTGTTCTGGGTCATGGCTTTGTGAGCGCGATCATGTTGAGCGAGTGTTCGGTGGATACTTCGGCGTGGTTGTTCCTGAGCGCAACGGGCGCGTAGGAGTTGAGCATCTGGAGATTGTTGTTTCTCCATTTGGCGCAAGAAAATAAGGATCTTGGCGGCTTCTCCCATTTGGGGTTGGTGATCGCGCCCCTCTTGGGGTTGGTGATCGCGCCCCTCTTCCTCGTGGATGAGACGTGTGATCTGATGGTGTCGGTGATGGCGTTGTGTTGTGTGACCGTCATCTCATGGTCGTCGCGGCGGTCGTCCTGCTTATCGTGCTTGGTGATTTGGCTATTGTCCTTATGGGTGTTGTTCTTGTCATTCTTCCTGTTCCCGTAAGGACCGTATCTTTCCACTGTCCAGTTCTGCGCCAACGGCTGGTTTGGGCCGTGCTGCTGGCTTCGGTGATGGCTGTGGTCGTGGTTGCAATTTGGGTTGGTTCTTGGGTGCCGCCTTCGGCCCCAGGGTGGCTGCCTGAAGTCGAGGTGGCTGATGTGCGCTGAGGTGCGCGTCCGAATGGTTGCCGTGCGCTGGCAATGCGCAGCACTTCGCGCGCGTCGGCACCGCCCCGGCGGAGGCGCCTATGCCAGGCGGGGCTGCGGGAGCGTGTGATGGATGCCGTTGCAGATACATTAGCGACTTGGATGACAGCGTGGCCCCTCGCAGGGGTGCAAGAGAGAGGAGGTCCAGGTAGTTGTTCCGATTCTAGCGGGCACCTGAATGGCCGCGCTGGCAACCGCCTCGGCCGCCCTGTGCGGAAAAAGGGGCGGGTTCGAGCGCGCGTGGCTACCCCCGCTGCTGCTGCTCCTCCCCCTCCTCCTCCTCCTCCTCCTCCTCCTCCTCCTCCTCCTCCTCCTCCTCCTCCTCCTCCTCCTCCTCCTCCTCCTCCTCCTCCTTCTCGCAGGGGAATCACGCATACATACGCTCAACACTGCACCTTAGCGGGCGCATTGACGTTGACCCCCTCATGCGGATGTCCTGTCCTGTCCTCCTCCACCCCCTGCTGGAAGAGTGGAAAGGGGGGACCAGGAACGCCGAGTTCTCCAGGGACCGGTTCCTGGGGCAGCTGCCAGCCAAGGTGTATTTCTCGCCGGAGGCGGCCTGAGGCTGCGCCTCTGGCGGAGGCGGCGGTGGCCTTGCGATCGGGGGCAGCGTGATGGGGAGAGGAACTATGGTCGGAAGCTGTTGCTCAGCGTGTCGATCCGCCAGTTCTGGCCCACCATCGGCGTCACCCCAACATACTTCTACTATATGTGCGTCGCCCCGCTGGGGGCGATGCGCGCACCGAGAAATCTTATAGCATATGCGTCGTGGCGGGCGCTTTCTGGCCACACCGCTCGGAAAACGATATACTACAAGATGGGTATACTATCTGGTTGGGTCTCGGACGCGCGCCTCCAAGGGGAGCACATACTACTAGTATGTCTTTGTGCGCCCCACACCACGCTTTGGCGCGACACGCAGGCCACTTCCCAGCTCCCAGCTCCCAGCTTGGCATCGCTCGGACGTGTGCATTTTTCCTTCGGCGAGGACCATCGAGGTGCATCCTTGACCATTTGGCGGAAAAAACACGCACGAAACCGAAAAAAAGCACAGGGAATGGACGTCCGAGCGATGCCCAGCCAAGCGCCAGCGTCCCGAGCCCTTCCCGCCCCCCCGCCCCACGCAGCAGAGCGGCACGCCGTCAGCTCGCAGGGCACACAGCTCACTGGCAGGGCCGCCGCCCCGCCGCACGCTGCACGGAGGCAAGAGAGTTCCCGAACGTGGGCCGCAGGGGGTGCAGGGCCTCTGGGCTCCTCCTCCTCCTCCTCCTCCTCCTCCTCCTCCTCCTCCTCCTCCTCCTCCTCCTCCTCCTCCTCCTCCTCCTCCTCCTCTTTCTCGTGCTCTAACTCCTCCTCCTCCTCCTCCTCCTCCTCCTCCGCCTCCGCCTCCGCCTCCTCCTCGGTGTCCTCCTCCTCCTCCTCCTCCTCCTGCTCCTGCTCATCCCCCTCCTCTTCCTCCTCTTCCTCCTCCGCCTCCTCCTCCTCCTCCTCCTCTTCCTCCTCTTCCTCCTCGGCCCAAGGGGGGAGGTTTTCGGGGACTCGGTGGGGCTTTCCAGCCTCGGGATGCCTTCCAGCGGCTGTGCCTCGCCGAGAGCGTCTGGGGGGGAGGGGGCCTCGCTTGTCCCGAACGGCCGCAGGAGAGCCGAGTCGCGACCCTGAAACCACGGGGCAACGTCAGGGGGGGGAGGCTCGGGGGGATGCAGCGCCCCCCATGGCCCACTCCTCGCCGCCGATGGGGGCCCGCTCGCGCCCCGACCGGCAGCGCGCGGCTCTCCGATCAGGGCCTTTTCGCCGATTACAGGTCGACGCGTCCCCCTCACTTGGCATCGCGCGGACGTCTGCACTTTATTTTCTCGGCGAGGACCACCGAGGAGCCTCCTGGACCATCGAGCAGCCAAGAAAACACGCGCACGAGACCGAGAAGTGCACGGGGATGGCCTTCCGAGCGATGGCAGGCTCGCGAGCCAGGGCCGTGGTCCTGCGAGTGTCCCGTTCCCACGTCGGCTTCCTCGTGTCCTGCGAAGGAGTCACGGCGGAAGGCTCTGGGAAGGTATGATGTTCCTTTGGCCCCACGGGTGTCGACAAAACGACCCGAGGGTGCCGAGCGCGGCCCCGCAGGGACGGTCGAGACGTCTGCGGGTCCACTCTGCGAAGAAATCACGACGCCCAGGGATTGGGTCCGCGTCTCCCAGGAAGATGAGGAGGAGGAGGAGGAGGAGGAGGAGGAGGAGGAGGGTGTTCGATGTCATTTTGGGGGTCCAGGTGGTTCTATTTTGGGAAGGCGAGTAAGAGGAGGAGGGTGAGGAGGAGGAAGGAGCTGCCTGCCTCATCATCCGTATCCTCTCGCCCTCTTACGTAGCCCTCCTCGCCTCTTTCCCGTTTCCTCTTCCCCTCCTCCTCTTCTTCGAAGGTTATCGTCTTCCGCTCCATCCTTTCTCCTCCTCTTCCTCCTCGCCCTCCTCCCTGCTTTTCCCTCCCCCCCCGTCTGCTTCGCAGCCTCGTATGCCACCCAGCCTGCTTCATGCTGTGGCTCTCGCTGGCCAGCGCGCCTGCCTGGTTGAAGCTCCCTGCACGCCCGCTCTCGTCAGCTCTCACGCTGTTCCCGTGACGTGCCAGAACGTAGCTGTGCGTGCGGAGCTAATTTTTTGATGTGGCTCCATGGCGTCGACGTCAGCCACCGCTCACACTGCGGATGATTGAGGAAAAGTGCGCACGCTCCCGGCACGCTCATCCACAAGCAGCCAGTCGTTTGGAGGCGCGCGTATTGAAAGCCGACTTTCGTTTGATGCGTAATTCTGATGTTCTTTCGCGAATTTCTTGGGATCCTCTTGGAGCGTCTTGGGGTCTCTTGGCAGTCCCAGTGGGCCTCTTGAGGCGTCTTGGGTGCCAGTGGGGGAGGAATCTTGGAGCCTCTTGGGGGTCTCTTGGAAGCCTCTTCGGGCATCATGGGCACTTCTTGGGGAGGGGGGAGGAGGAGGAAGACGAGGAGGAGGAGGAGGAACTGGGAGGGAGGGAGGGAGGAGGAGGAGAGGGAGGCGGCGGAGGAGGAGGAGCAGCAGAAGGATAACGTCGTAGCAACCCGCAATTGTGGATAAGAGGAGGGCACGGGCGCGGGCGACCGCGGGCGTCGTCGAGCCGGCGGACCTCGTGGCCCCCAC